GAAGTCGTAAGAAGAGTCTTTCAAATTTTGTTCAACAACGCTCCATCAATTCTCATCATTAATACATACAATCGGAAGGTCAGTGTTAACACAAAGGCATGCATTAATACTTGAAACCATTAGAGAGACTTCGTTCGTAAGTCCATCTCCCATCAAACCGAGAAGTTACGCGAGTGTACATGGATGTGGATGTGTGGATGTATTTCCCACAGCCAATTTTAGGCCGCGGAGTTTGTTGTCGTGGGCAAGCAGAACGTAGAGCCAATAGACAAAAGTGCAAATCTCACTGCGAAGAGGTTGAAGAAACAGTTAAGGGCGAACTTTGGCACAATCGACTGCCAGACTTCAGCAACTAGAGAGTTTGAGAACAAGAGTGAACTACTTACTAATACACAAACGAATGAAAGAACAGACGTACTCGTTTCTGCAAAAGAGTGGAGATTAAAAGGCCATCTATCGGTAGTATTAGACGAGTGCAACGTCCGAAGACAAATCGACTTTGCAAAAGACATTTCTTATTGATGATCCACAATTCTTCTAACTTTATCTTCAGAAGCATCAACACCAACGTTGGACATCCAGAGAGGGCGTAACCCATCTCGCGAAGATATGATTCTATGCAGATTCCAACTTGATCCTTTCTCACTTCTTTACGCCTCACACTCCTTTTGAGATGCCAATTGCAAATCCTCTCACATAAGCGGTGGAGAGAAAATGAGAACAAAGGTAGGGGGATGGATCGAGAATACCGGTTCATTGAGCAACGGCCCATTCAACATGGTCATTCTGTTTGACAAAATCTGAGGCGAGGGCATTCTTAACCTTTCGCCAATAAGGCAGAATGCAGAGGCTCCTCTCTGCCGTCAATGCACCCTTTGCCTTCCCACCTGATTTGAGAGAATCACCAGGCCTTGAAGAAAGTCTCAATGGTATATCCACCTATCGCATTCGTTAAGGGATGTCGGAGTAAGAACGACAAAAGGTAGTCCTGTTCACTCGTGCAGTACTGAATGTAGAGCTTATCGCCGCCTCCAATGTCGATGGAGAAGGCACATTTTCGGTGAACAACATTAAAGGTATGAAATACGAAGTTAAAGGGGGAAAGCGTGCAAACTCGACCACACAGACTCCAGCTCATCCCGCATCACTTCAGCGCGGTCACAAATTATGGCTACTGCAATGCCACCACACCGGGTATCAGACCTTTCTGACGAAAGCCCATCACTGAAAACGCATATCACGTCATGCCTGCGTCACGTTGACTTGTTCGCGTAGGACTGGTGAGTTGGTCCACTGGATTGCAATTTTCAGTGCACACTCCCTAGGGATGCCCAAACCTTGTGTTCGACACCCAATTCCTACTTAGCTACGCTTATTGTCGACACATGAACGGTCGCAAAAGGAGAGACAGTTCACACCCGCTTCCCACCTGCTACTGACTAAGCGCACACCGCTGCTGCCATTCCGCCCCAGCATTCAGTCTCTAACACTATCGCCAGCACAATCCCAACCCTCGTTATCAGCAGCACCATTACATATACTCTGCAAGCAGTGCTGTTGTAAAAAAATTCCTGCCACTCCGTTACTCTACACAATGCTGTGAATTGAGTGAACTCCACCTCAACCATCATCCTCACCACTGCTGAAGCACCTCGTGCATGGCATTCGGTGCGTGGTCAGTGCCTACAATTTGACTTGCAGTATTTCGTCATTTCATTGTCAGAGCCTAGCACGACAGCACCCATCCATTTTCGCGACAGCATTTTTGCGTAGGTGGATTGCATTGGGATGCGAAGAAGGTGTTCAGTAGTCCACCTACGACATGAGATGGTGTGACGGTGAGGCATGAACAATGTAGGCGTTGAAGTAGCACGAAAGCACACTTTTAGACTGACAACACAAGCATGACGTCCGTCCACTAGACAAAGTGTTCAAGTTTGCAACAGCTTGGTCAAACAACTTTTCCTTTCACATATTTTTCTGTTTCTCATTACTACGGCTGTGGTTGTGCATTTGGCAAGGAGCATCTCGCAACACCTGAACCTCGCTGAGGACGTTGGTGTCGAGTTGTCTATTTTACGGACTACGGTTGAACAGCGCCTTCAGTCACGGCTGCATGTCAACGATGCAAACGCTACTGTCATCCGCACAGATGGTGAGTTTCAGCAGGCACGACTGGCCCATGATGGTGTGCTGCAAAGGCGGAAACATGGAAATAGGGGAAGAGACGTGGGAGATGGAGGAGTCGAACCTCCTCATCACTCCGCTTTATATCATTTCCGATTTCACTGACAGTTCACCATCACGTCCCGTTAGACGCTTCCTCCTAACCCCCCCGTACCCCATCATGTCGCGAAGCCTCAGTGGCAGCAACAGCTGACGATGTAAGACTCTCACCTACCTCATCAGGTGCAACCTCGCCAATTTTTGATAGCACAGCATTCACAACAGCAACGTGCAGAGGTGCAACACAATTACTGACTGTCCTTCCCGAGCATTAGTCAATCTCCTCACCACTCTGCCTTATCACACTTCCAATTTCACAAACAGTTTTGTTAGCAAGTTAGTGATGCGCTTGCAGGTTACAGGGGCCTGCCACCATCATGTTCCTTGAGAGGCTTCCCCTTCCATCCCCTTCGTACCCTGTCATGTCACGAGGCCTCAGTGGCACCAACAGCTGACGAAGTAACGCTCTCATCTACTTCATAGGGTGCAACCGAGAAAGGGAAATCAAGGTGACCCAATGCTCAGTCAACCATAACCCAGTGCTCAATTCACCCACCCTACTTCTCCCTCCCACCTCGCCATTTCCCGATGGTGCAGCATTCACAACACCAACACAATTACTGAATGAAACCTTCAACGTAAGGTGCTGCCTACGTTGTTTGCAACTGCACTAAAGCAAAATTCAATGCAAGATGATTTGTCTCCATCACACTTGAAGCGCCCCACCTGACTTGAGTTAGACAAAGCAAAGAAGGAGGGGACAAGGATTCCCAGCAAGCCAAAGCCAAAGTTGGCGCAAAATTGGCACTCACAACAACCAACCCTTGCACAAACACCAAAATAAGTACGTGCAAGTCTACTGCGTACAAAGCATCCCACTTGGGCTTCTAGTTTTGTCTTGTTCAATTAGGGCTGACGCACAACAACTTTGGCTGCTGAACCTGACTGACGTCCGTCCAGTCACTACAAATGAACGCAGCAATTTGAGCAGCTGATTCCATCCATCTCCCACACCTCCACTTTATTAAACGAGACAGGGTGTAGAGTGCCATGTAGCCAGTCTTTGGGAGGGTGTTGAGTTACTCACGTCACCATCTGATGTAACGGGCAAGGCAACACGACAGACGACGTCTCCCAGTTAACGATTAGCACGGAAGTTAAAACCGCTTCGGTGATTACAGACAAACACGACCAATTGGTTGGATGGAACAGCTAAACATGGCTTGATTGGGGGATCGTTAAGAAGGGACTGCAAAGGACAATCCTGTTGGGGATTTGGCCTAAATGAAACCGAACAACTCCACGACTGCCTTCCTATGCTGCCTGACTTCAGATTGTTGACAAATTTCTTCAGCATTAAATGACATCGCCAAGTGAAGGTAACAAACGACACTTTAAATCACAGAGTAATTACGGGTGGAGGATTGTTAGAAATGGGCTCCAAACTCTCCACTGCCAAAGTCTTTGCCATGCTACTTTACTTAACTACCAGCGTATGAGCAACTCCACGTTGTAGTGCCTCGTCCCTGCCTTCGCAGCCCCTACCACTACTCCCCCCACGCTGAAGAGGCAAACAAAGTAGACGCGTATGGAATAGTGTTGACAGACTTTGTGTTTCGTTGACTCGCTAAACTACTAGCGACTCCGTTGCACCTCTGCTGTTAGCTACTGCGACTGCCTGTGCGATTGGTGCTTCACGATTGCACCCACCTGTCCACTATTGCAATGCCATGTCCCACCACATTCCTTCTCGATAAACTACTATTCCATTTCGGGCCTGCTTTCCTCAGTGCTCTTTACCCGTCAGCTACTTCTCGCTTCTGCCTCAATGCACCGAGTTGCAGGCATGTGGCTCTGCTGTCGAGTGACAATTTGTCTGCAGCTCTTTTGATGTAATGTTGCAAAGGACATTTGCCAATGGCGGTTGAGGTGAAGATGCCGACTGCAGAAATGCCTATCACCGCATCTCATGTGAAGCGATTCGCCAACCCATCAGTGAGAGAATCAGTGCTATTGTCATTTCCGTTGCCTTGATACCGCATTATAGGTCCGCATCCACTTGCTTTCATTCTTTTGTAAAGTCCAAACACATGAATTGGGACGTCGTTGCAACAGACATCGAAGCCGATCGAACCGGCTTGCAGATGAGGCAGCGGACAGAGAGGGCTATCACGAGGTGCACCGCTTTTCCTTCTGCAAGTAAATGTCAGCAGGAGTGAGGCTATGAACAGGAGGTGGATGGACGTGTGCAGAGTGAGAGGGAGTGGGCGGGAGAGCGTGCGAGGTTGCAGGTAGGTGGTGGTGATTTAGCACGAATGAATGTGTCGACGCTTCCATGGCTTGGCACAGACATGCACGTCGAATGCAGACCTGATGCGACGTGCGTGTTGGAAATTTTGATGTTGCAGTGGGTTGCAGATACAACTTCAGTTGCCAGGTATGGTAGTCAGTGCGCCTCAATCAGTTTCAATGTGCCCGAAGGTGGGATCGCGTCACTTCGGCGTGAATACAAACTTGTTATTGGTGCACTCGATGCCTTTCTATAGCTGAGATTCGCATGAATTATTCCACGATATTCGCTTCGACCTATTTTGAGGCATAATGACTGTACTTCCCTGAAGGCTTCGATGCGGGGCTTTTAAATTTGCCCATTTCACATAAACGCCGAATTACGGTTGACCAACTAGCCAACTAGCCAACAATTGCGGGCTTCGGGTCACCCAATCAGTGATGTTAACTCTCTTGCCTTCCAGTAGAAAGCAGAGGAGACACGGCCATTCTTAAAAAGACATTGCGAGGGAAAGGCTCACTTGTACTACATGTGGAAGACATTTGTATACAGCGTTATCTGACCTCGCATCGCAGTAGATTTCCGTCACTCCACCTGAGAGTCGAATGCTAGTCTGCCGGTGTCAGCGACACAACTCCTGATTGGAGTGTGCACTGCTCACCGCATTCTTCCCTCCTCGATGGCATTTCGCTTTCCTCCAATTAGGTGTGGGCGCTGCTGAGTTGCGGATTCGAGTAGTGCACGTGCAGGCATGTTGGTTGGAAGCATTGGGCAAGGAGGTGTAGCCTAATTTGCCAATTGCTACTGACCAACGTGCCTGCGTTGGTTCGTAAGATGATGCAGTTGAGGGAAGCGAAAGCAGTTCGACTGCCAATCGGCCCTCCCCCCTTGTAACGTGGAACATTCTAACACCTCCAAACTCTTTGAGTGAATGTACTGCAGAGCGACCTAGATGAGTGGCGCGACGAAGGCAGTTGCGTCGAGAACCTCTCTGTAGATCGTTACTTACGTGTCAAGAGTAGCGAATGAGCACATTTATTCGTCTGGCTGTTTCGCTCATCAGCACACTCTTCGGTCAAGGTGCAGTGCACAGCTCCATCCATCTCAACCGTCATGGCGAGCGCTCCACGGTTTGGCGACGTGACTTATATTCGTCTGCTCCCTTCCCGTCTGTGACCACGCTTTCGCCCCCACCCCTCCCCTGGTTAGGACAGTGGGTCTGCTGACCTCACAGGTGAGAAGCCTCGCAATGAGGTCAAAGTGTCACCATTTTGGGACATACTTTATGCCAACGAAGAGACCATCGAAGATGAAAATGGGTGGCGACTGCTGCTCCACTCGATGCATATTCTGCACTTCAACCGCTAACCCAATTAAAGTCTCGCCTTTCATGTGCGTTGTTGACAGTTGTAGAGTGACAACCGTGAGATGGAGGGTGACGCCCATGTGCTTGCGCCAACGGGTAAGGTGAGCGTGAGTTGGGGTGAAGTGGCTGCACCCCCTTCCATCTGCCACTTCACACCCTACTGACGCAGACTTGGTTCACAGCTCCTGCGACAATTCATTCCAAATTAATCTTGGAGAGTAGATGAGAAGCATTTGATTAATGTCTGCACCGTGATGCATCCACTCGGCTCATG